CCGCGGCGCTGTGCCGCATGGCGGCCCACCTGGAGAGGATGGCGGCCAAGGCGGCCGTTGCGGAGGCGCAGCAGACCGAGCTGCTGCGGTCGCTGGCCGCCGCCGTGGGCGCAGTGGCGGCGGCGGCGGCGGCTGCGCGGCCGGCGGGGGAGGGTTTGGCGGGGGCTGCTGGGGCTGCTGCGGCGGCCACGGGGGCGGCGGGCAGTGGGTCTCCCTGCCTTGGGCTTTGATGCGTGGGAGGGCGGGCTGGGCTTTGGGCTTTATCCAATACACCCACTTTGCTTGGGTCAATTCTGTGCAGCTAGTCATCTTTTTGCAAATACGGGGGGATAGGGAGAGCGCAGCACGCAGCCTGACCACTTCTGCACAGGTTTTGGGACTTTGATCGGAGACTGCAATTGACACCCGCATCCCGCTGCTGCGGCAGGCGGTGGGGGCGGCACCATTACCCGGCTGTTTCAGGGCGCGCTTGCATTGCCGCTGTCACTGCTCCCCTCTTGGCACGACCGACGCTCCCGGGTGGAGGGCGGCCCACGGCAGGGGAGCTCAGCTCGCTGGGCCTCTTGCCTACTGCACAACTTGATGGGCCCGCTGGACTGCGGGGAATCCCCGCTGCCCGCTGGGTGTCGGACACCCACCGCTTTTTCCCAACTCCATTACTTGCGCAGCTGCCCCTTCACTGCACTTGCGCAGCAGCGCCGTCGCATTGTCACTGAGCGTTGGCGACCCAGGCCAAGGCTGCCTGTTGTGGGGGCGGCCCTTGTTCCCCAGCGCAACATACTGCCCTGCGCAGAGCGCTCCCTCAAAACCCCTTCGCCGCCGCTCGGCGTGCCGCCCCTGTCGGCCCGCGCGGCGCTGCTGGCATCCGCTTTCGTGTTGACAGGCATGGTGACTGCCTCGCTGGCGATTTTGCGGCGCCTTCGTCAAACTGCAGCAATGGAGCTGACTAGTTGAGGCAAGCAGAAAAGTTGAAAGTTTTACTACAGTGTTGGGTAAATCCCTCGTCGGCCGAATGCGCCGCTGCAGGGCGCGACTGTAGGCTTACGGGACCAGGCTGGCGCAAGAATGCACGGCGCGCCTCGGGCGCAGCCAGGCGAGCATCGTGGCGGGTGGGACAATGAAGTGGGGGCCTCCAGCCCGGGGGCGGGCGCCGCGCCGATGCAGGTCTCGGTGCCCGTGCGCCCCGTGGGGGAGGCGTGCGCTTGTCATGGGAAATGGAAAGCTGGGGCTTGGAAGTGCTGTGGGGTTGCTGAACGAGCGATTACGCTCAAAATACGAGGATCGCGAAGCGAGGAGATTTTTTTATGGTTCTGCTGCAGCACCTGCTCTGCCTTGTGAGTGCGTGGCGGTAAGCGGCATGCCGCCTCTTAGGCTGCCGCCGCCGATGGTGCCCAGCCCTACATGCAAAGTGCAGCGCCTATATGCAGCCGACCAGTCGCATGCTGTGCGGGCCTCGGCCACCACCCCTGCGGGTGCGGCGCCGCACCGCTGAGCACCTGAGCTACATGCGCTCCAAGGGCAGGTCTCGGGCCAGGCGAGGCGGCGCGGACCCCGCGCCGCCTCCGCGGGGGGCCAGCCGGCCGCCAAGCCGCGGCCCCTGGGCAGCTGCTCAGTGGTTGCTCTTCACCAGGAAGGGGTCCAGCGGCTTGCCCAGCGCGTAGACCACAAACCCTATCTTGCGCAGCGCCTCGTGGTCCAGGATGTTGCGGCCGTCAAAGACGAACGCGGGCTTGATCATGGAGTCGTACATCTTCTTGTAGTCGTAGGTCTTGAACTCGTCCCACTCGGTCAGCACGCAGATGGCGTGGGACCCCGCTGCGCACGCGTAGGGGTCGGGGACGGCCTGGTGGGGCCGGGGGGGGGGGGGTGTCACAAGGGCGGATGTGGTGGGGGCCAAGGGCCGGGCGGTGCTGTGGGCGCCATCATAGGGCAGGAACCTCCTGCGGTAGGCAGCCAGGATTTGGCTACCATACCCTGGGCACTCTGCTTGAACAAACAGGTACATGCAGGCCAACGTACACACGCACACACACATGCCAACACACATACACACGCACACACACACAAGTGTGCGCGCGAAAGCCCCCTCTTCTCCCTCTACGTTTCAGTCTCTCTACCATTCACACACCGCTTCGCACACAGATTTCTCTCTCCCTCCTGCCCCTCCCTCACCTCCCATCCGACCCCGCCCACCTGCACGCTCTCCATGATGTGGTTCTCGCTCTTGGTCCAGCCGTGGGGGCGGTCCCACTCGTACTTGGGGGCAGACAGGTCGCGGAACATCTGGTGTGTGTGTGTGTGTGTGTGTGTGTGTGTGTGTGTGTGTGTGCGCGCGTGCTGGGGAAGAGGTCAAGCAGGGGAGCAGGTGCCACTGCGACGGCAATATGCTCAACCCATGATGAAGGAAGGAGACAAGTCGAAGGGCCGACAGCCCAGCGGTCAGGCTTTGACAACTGAGCAGCAAGGTTGCGCTGGCCGGGAGCGAAGGGCCTGACAGACACCGCAGCCCCTGGGCAGCCCGCAGGGCTCGGCCAGCTCCTTGCGCAGCCAAGGACAATTTTCAGCGGAGGTCCCACCTGGATGGGGGCGACCTTGGGGTCGTACACCGCGCACTTGGCGCCATCCGCCAGCAGGCCCCTGGAGATTGTGGGATCAGCGGCGCGCGTTCGCGGGCGGCGGGGGCGAGGGTGACAGGCCAGCGAGCGCAGCTGCCCATGCAGCCCGGAGATCGCCCCAGCTGAGCCAGGAGCGGCGGCATGGCCGCCCGCGGAAGCCCGCCGCCACGGCCGCGGGCAGCAGGCAGCAGGGGGCGCCGCGCTTGCAAAGGTGGGCGCCTGCCCGCTGTACTCCGCTGCTCGCCTGCAGACGTCTATGGCGGGCGTCTCGCGGGTGTCGCCGGTGTCCTTCTTGAAAGCGAAGCCAAAGATGGCGATGCGCTGAGGGACGGGGTGGGAGTGGGGAGAAGCGGGCGCTTGCGGACCGCCAGCTTCCACGTGTGCGCACCAACAGGCCCTCCGGGGCCCCTACTCCCGTTGTCAACTGCCGTGGCGAGTGACGGCGCTGCATCCGCCTTGGCGGGGCGCCCCGGCCGCCCGGCCCCGGCCTAACGGCGGCGCACCTTGCCGGCGACTGTGTTGAACATGCCCCCGATGACGCGCTCCACGAAGCGCTGCTTCTGGTAGTCGTTCATGGCCACCACCGTGTACCAGTAGTCAGACACCTGCGGGGGCGGGGCGGGGCCGACGAGGGC